GAGTAGAGTAGAGTAGAGTAGAGTAGAGTAGAGTAGAGTAGAGTAGAGTAGAGTAGAGTAGAGTAGAATAGGAGGCCGGGCACAGTGACTCATGCATGTAGTAATCCCAGTACTTTGGGAGGCCGAGCAGGGTGGATCACTTAGGGTCAGGAGTTTAAGATCAGCCTGGCCAAAGTGGTGAAACCCAGTCTCTACTAAAACTACAAAAAATTTAGCCATGTATGGTACTATGCACCTTTAATTCCAGTTACTCGGGAAGCTGAAGCAGAATAGCTTGAACCTGGGAGATTGCTCTACTGCACTCCAGCCTGTTCGACAAAGCAAGACTCTTGCTCTAAAAAAAAAAAAAAAAAAAAAAAAAGAATCTGTAACTTTAACTAATGTTTTTTGAAGTCTTATTAGGATAAAGACTATGTTATAGTGATCTTTGAAACAAATTTTAAGTTTGATTTGATAAGATGCTTGTAATATAATAAACAATAAATTTTAAGTCACAGGCCGGGTGCGGTGGCTCGTGCCTGTAATCCCAACACTCTGGGAGGCCGAGGTGGGCGGATCATCTGAGGTTGGGAGTTCGAGACCAGCCTGATCAACGTGGAGAAACCCCATCCTACTAAATATACAAAATTAGCCAGATGTGGTGGCACATGCCTGTAATCGCAGCTACTCAGGAGTCTGAGGCAGGAGAATCGCTTGAACCCAGGAGGTGGAGTTTGCAGTGAGCCGAGATTATAGCATTGCACTCCAGCCTGGGCAAGAAGAGCGAAACTCTGTCTCAAAAAAAAAAAAAAAAAAGGCACAAAATCAGATTCTTGGCAGGACATGTCAGACAACATTGTATAAGTTGTGAAGATGTAAATATCTATCTTGATTATTTTGAAAACCAAAAAAATCAATAAATTATTTACCTCTGTAGTTTTCTCAGGTGAATTTATTCTGAAGAATATATACTAAGAAGTGAGTTAACTTTAATGGACCTCTTTTTGAAATTACTCAAAGCTATTTTATAACATATTATTTAGAAATTGTAATATTTATAAAACTTGTATTTTAAATTCTATTTGTATCTTTAGTTTTGCTTTGTTACTCCATCTCTAAATTATGAGTAATTATGTTTTTCTTTTGTTAATGGTTTGTAGCCCTCTCTAATACACTTAAGAGTTGTTTGATTTTAGAATATGTTTTCTGCAGGCAAAACGAGTAGATTTTCATGTTTAATACACTTGTAAATCTCAACAATAATATCTGTTTCATTACTTCATTGTGATACTAGTTTTGCTTTATGGGTTCTCTTTGCATACTGTTCCCTTAATTTAATTAAACATCTGGTGGTGACACAAGGAGCCAAGTGTAAGATCTTATCACCTAAATGAGAGCTTTGTTCCTTATAGTAATAATTAACCGAAAAACATGTGTTTTTAAAATTAACTGTAAGGATATAACAATTTATGAATGCAATCATTTTACAAGTTAGTCAACTTTAAAACTAAGTACTTAGGCCGGGCGCGGTGGCTCACGCCTATAATCCCAGCACTTTGGGAGGCTGAGGTGGGCGGATCACGAGGTCAGGAGATCGAGACCATCCTGGCTATCATGGTGAAACCCTGTCTCTACTAAAAATATGAAAAAATTAGCTGGGCATGGTGGCAGGTGCCTGTAGTCCTAGCTGCTCGGGAGGCTGAGGCAGGAAAATGGTGTGAACCCAGAAGGTGGAGCTTGCAGTGAGCCGAGATAGTGCCACTACACTCCAGCCTGGGCGACAGAGCAAGACTCCGTCTCAAAAAAAAAAAAAACAAAACAAACAAAAAAAAAACTTAATAATCAAACTTTTTCTCAAAATTATAGAATCTCAGAGGTAGACAGTATGTTAGATACCATCTTATTCAAACTTTCTATTCACAGAAAAAAAAAGTCATAAAGTTAGGTAGCTTGTCCAAACCTGTACAGATTCTCTGACCCGAATACAGTGGCAGTTAGATGCAACAGCAGGGTTAATAGTTTGCCTTTTTTTTTTTAACCACCTCATCTCAAATAGTTGAGCCTACTAATACTACAGAATTTACGCATGATGAAGCTGGGGAGCAAGTGCTTCAGAAAGATAGCTTCAGTAGCTCCTGCTTCAGCCTAAAGTTCTGTAACACCTGAATTGCAAAATAATTCCATTTATAAAATGAAATTTCAATGTGTAATGCTGGGCTCAGGTGTTATCTCTGTAAATAGCACATGAAGTTACCTCCATAGTTATGATTCATTATTGTTTCCCTCCCTGTTGATTACCTGTATTCTAGCCACTGGTGACATGTGGCTGTTGAACACTTAAAACGTGGCTGGTATGAATTGAGATATGCTATAAGTGTTAAATACACATTGGTTTTCATGTCCATATCCAGCTCTGAACCTCTGTACAATTTTGTTTTACTGGGGGTTTGGGGTTGCTATGCATATCTCTTACCAATCCAGTCAAACCTTTGGGGCCCATCTTGAGCCCTGCTCTTCCATTAAAATGTTTGGGTCTAAATTCATCTTTTTTTGTTTATATCTCATTATTCCCTTTCTCCCTTTTTAAGCTTACATAGGTTCTTAATGATAGTCTATCATATTTTGTTACCTAATAGGGGCATGCATTTATGCCTGCCTCTAGAACAATAGTTAAATTGCTACTAGAAATGAAGTTGCACCTAGCAATGTATTTTCAGTCTCCAAACATTTAGCAGAGGGAGGGCACATATCTGGATATTAATAAATACATGTTGAATTGAGTTTCTCAATATATATTTGTCATTTTAAAAACCCTTGTATTTCAATATGTTATAGTTTTCAAAGCACTTTCACATATGGAGCTTTATTTAATCTTCCTAGCAGTTTTATTAGATAGACAAGGCAATTATTCTTTTCATTGTTAGATGATAAAGTAGGGACTTAAAAAGACAATATAAAAACTGGTGACACTTTTGTTTCCTGTGCAATGTGATTTCCTCTCTTTTGGTTGAAAACACTTTCTAACTATCATGGAAGAGTAGGTCCTGGTTTCTTTTAAGCTCATCCGAAGTTATTTTGAATCCTTTATTTATAATCACAATTTTCTTGGATCTCATCCACTGGGCTATAGGTACACACCAGGGTCTTTGGGGCAAGTTGTGAAAACTCCTTATAGGTATATACCAAGCAATAAGTGATTGTTCTTTAGTATATGGTTTTCAAATAAATTTTATCTCATGTCAACTCCATTTGATTAGGAGTGCATGTGTGGGATCCTTTGTGTAGAAAGTTGTGAAAGACTGTTTAGTTTTAACAAGGAAGTGTTTAGTTTCATCAAAAGTATGAGAATGAGGGGAATGGGGGTAATTAAATGCTATATTATTTAATAGAGTAGGTCAGTTTTTATTTCTGGTCAATATCTTTTTTATGAACATTCCTAATATGAAAATGTCCTGTCTTAGTTTGAGTAGAAAGGGAAGGAAAATGTCATAGTCCTTTTCTCATCAGAAGAGACCATCTCTCTCCCTCAATTTGCTTTTTCCATCTTCAGCTTCAACAATACAGCTATGTTCAATTGTCCTTTCAACTAATGTTAGTGGTTTTGCAGCAGTTTTTGTACTTAGGTTTAACTGTTTATTCAGAATTTGCCATGTTAAAGCTAAACAGGAAATTGAATCACAGATATAAAATGATATCTTTATTAAATATAACCTCATTGGGTTTATGTAAGAGGTAAACACAAGCTCAAGCCTAAAATACAGTGAGCAGTCATATATACATTATTGATATATAATTAAGTTAATTATTCTTTAATTTAACAGATATTTACTGAGTGCTGGTGTGTGTCAGGCATTGGTGCTGATTACTAGGAATATAACAGTGAAGATGATGTTCAAAATCCTGCTCCCACATTTTAGTGGGAAAGTTAGTAAATGTTTTAGAATTTTTCCTTTATTTGGTCAACTGTTTTTTGTATTTGAAAGAAATAATTGGAAAACTCATTAGTAAATGACAACGAGCCACATTGTTAGGATGTCTCTACTAAAAGTTCTTGTTAGGAAGAACTTTCCCTTGTCACACTTATTGAAGTAGGGGCTGGATGTGGTGGCTCATGCGTTTAATCTCAGCACTTTGAGAAGCTGAAGCAGTAGGTTTGCAGGAGCCCAGCAGTTCAAGACCAGCCTGGGCAATAAAGTGATACCCCATCTTTACAAAAAAAGAAAGAAATAATTAGCTGAGTGTGGTGGCATGAACCTGTAGTCCCAGCTACTTGGGAGACTTAGGTGGGAGGGTCGCTTGAGTCCAGGAGTTGGAGGCTGCAATGAGCCATGATTGTGCCACTGCAGTCCAGCCTGCATACCACAGTGAGACTCTGTCTCCAAAAAAAAAAAAAAAAAAAAGTAGTTCATAAATAATTTTATGAACACTGAAAAGGCATTTTGAACAATAAATTCATGAATTTCCTAATTAATCTTTCCTTCTATAGATACTGGTTCTGTATGTATAAATAACAAATAAAATTTGGTGAATACAGAGTTAAAGAGTTTAGAAGTATATGGAATTCATTAAAAAGTCCCTTTAGGGCTGGGCACGGTGGCTCACACCTGTAATCCCAGCACTTTGGGAAGCTGAGGCGGGTGGATCATCTGAGGTCAGGAGTTCAAGACCAGCCTGATTAACATGGTGAAACCCTGTCTCTACTAAAAATACAAAGAATTAGCCAGATGTGGTGGCACATGCCTGTAATCCCAGCTATTTGGGAGGCTGAAGCAAGAGAATCACTTGAACCCATGAGGTGGAGTTTGAAGTAAGCTGAGATTGCACCATTGCACTCCAACCTGGGCAACAAGAGTGAAACTCCATCTCAAAAGAAGGAAAAAAATAAAAAGTCCCTTTAGAAGAGATGTTTCTTTTGGTTTGGACTGCATTGATATTTCTTTTGCAGGTTCATTGTATATCTATATTTTACAATTGTGATTTAAATTGTTTTCTAAATGAAGTTCAAATTCTTCATCTTTCAGATCTTGACAGAGCAAGTATGTACTCAGGTCGTACACAAACCACATCCAGAGCCAGATTCTACAGTGAAAATTCAGAATCCAAGTGAGCAAATGGCAGTTCTTTATTGTATTGGGGTCGGCGCATGGCAACATATGAGACTAAATCAAAACTTTTCCTAACCCCTTAAATCATTATGGTGTTTACCGAGTTCATGACAGTTTTAACTCACCTTTTATAGTGCTAAGTATTTATTTGAAAGTCAGTAATACGTTTTGAGTTGAGCATAGGATATGGTTATAAATCTTTAAGTTTTTTTCTTTGTTTACAGTGATTCTTAAAGTGGTGGCAACTTTGTTAAAAAACTCTACACCAAGCGCAGAGCTGATGGAAGTTCGTCGTTTATTTTTATCTGATATGATAAAACTTTTCAGTAACAGCCGTGAAAATAGAAGGTAAGCAGTTTGGATACTATAACAACACTTTATTCCATAATTAATATTTTCTCTCTTTTAGAATTTCAATTCATTTCAAATCTTTTCCATATTGCTAAATACTTTTAATCATCAGAAAAGGCATATTATGTTTTTTGACGTATTCAGTATACTTCTATTTATTTTTATATTATTTTTATTTTGTTATATGGATATTATATTTTAATTGTATATATGAATATACATATAAACAAACTCTTATTTAAAATGTAATATCCCTTTTAGTGGTACCTATCTATCACCAATAGAACTTTCAGTTGTAATTGTGTTGGATTTTGTCATTTTCGTCTATGCTTTCCACCCCATTTTTCTTATGGCTGATTGTTGTTCATTTTTAAGCTAGTTAGCTAGAACACGGGGTAGAGTCTGAGGCCATGAACTCTGGAGTAGTCATTGCCTGAGTCTATAATTTAACAAATATTGACTGAGTGCCTATTGTGTTCAGTGTAAGACCCAGTGCTACACAAGATAGTCTTAGTACACAGTCTCGGTACATTCCAGTGGGAAAGAAAACCATAAAGCAATGATTAATACATAATGTGTTAAATACATTGTGAATGCTAAAGGTGGTAAGAAAGTAGAGAAGCAATAAGTAAATCTGACTGTGAAAGTTAGGAAAGTGATTTTGAATGACAATTAGGATTTTTCCTGGTAGAGAAATAAGAGAAAGTCATTCCAATTACAGAATCTATAATGTGCAGCATGACTGTACACCTTACTTTACTGAGGTCAGATCATATTTTCACTATTTTATTTATCAAAGTTTCAAAATAGTAAATTCTAACTTAATTTGGGTATTTTTAATGAGATCAATTTTTTTTTTTTTTTCTCACAAGATGCTTATTGCAGTGTTCAGTGTGGCAGGATTGGATGTTTTCTCTTGGCTATATCAATCCTAAAAATTCTGAGGAACAGAAGATTACTGAAATGGTCTACAATATCTTCCGGATTCTTTTGTATCATGCAATAAAATACGAATGGGGAGGCTGGAGAGTCTGGGTGGATACGCTGTCAATAGCCCATTCCAAGGTAACACGGGATTTAACATTTTAATATCAGAGTTATTGCGGTGGATTAAATGGCTACAGATATGCATCTGGTGCCATCTTGTGGGCATCTTAGATTTTGACAGATTCCTGTATCTCAGTTTTGTATTTTTTTCCTCACTGTTCATAGACTGTTAGAACTTGAAAGTGGCTTATAGATGAATTAATTCAAACCCCAAATTTATAAATTAGGAGTTTCATACCCAAAGATGACCTACATCTGTTTTATAGCAAATCTGATAACTTTAATCTGAGCCACTTGCTCTTTTAACTGGTTCTTGGAAGACTATTTCATGAAATAGTCTCTGAAATATACTTTTTTTTTTTTTTTTTAAAAAAGCTTCCATAGTTAATTTAATGAATTATAACAATAGGGGCAAGGTATAAAACTTCTTAACACAAGGGAACTCCAACGAAAAACTGGCAGATAATCCCCATCTCCTCCCGTTGCGCTTGTGGATCTCAGCACATATGGTCCTGCACCAGGGGTTGCAGAACAGTGAAAGATTCTAACACCATATGTGTGGAAATCCTGTACCTTGCAGAGAGTGAAGGAGCAGGGAAAGCTTGTCCTTGAATCCTGGACCTTTACGGCTGTTTTTCTCCTGGCTCTGTATCAGATTTTGTCCGCTCCATATGGTATTTTTAACTTATTGTATGAAATATACTTTTTAAGACTTTTTTTAAGAAGTCAGATTTTTTTATTTCCAAGTGAATCATAAATACATTTAAAGTGTTTAAGTTTAGTGGTATTTTAATTGCATTATCTTTTCTTTATTTTTAATCTTAAAAATCTGTCTGTCTATATTTTAAGTATTATTTGATTTTTGGTAAAATGAAATAGTGAATTAAAGTGTACAAGTATATACACATTAGATTCTGGAAATTCAGAGTTAGGATATCTCATCATGAAGTGTTATAGAAGAAGCATGGGTGTCAGAAGTATGGCTTTTAATTTAGTCTGTGCCATAATTGAGTTTTGTGATTTTTGAAGACTCATTTAGTCTTCTTGAACATGAGTTAGAAAAAACTGTTTAATAAGATAGATAGTAAACATTATAGACTGTGTGGGTTATATAGCCTCTGATATAACTACTCAACTCTGCTGTTCAGTGTGAAAGACAATACATAATGTAAATGGTTATCATGGTTTTGAATAAACCTTTATTCACCAAAAGAGATGATAAGCAGATTTGTCCCGTGGGCCATGTGTTACGAACCCCCACTTTTGGGACTTGCATTCTTCTTCTGTAAAATTAAGGAGATTTTTGTATTATGAGATATTCTTTAAAGGATGGTTCCCCCAATGTAAAATTCTGTTAACTTATTTAAATATACATTAATAGCACCTATGTCTATAAGAGAAAGACTATGAACTTTAAAAAATATTAGAAAAGCTTTTGTTTCTATTATAAATTTACATTTTGTAATATAGCGATGCCTCAGATTTATCATTGCTTTAACAAATTTGAAAATAGGAAAGAAAAAGACATTGCAGGTCTTTGTACAAAAAAAGGATTCTGATTATTAATAAAGAAGCCTAAGTAACAAATTCAGAGCAGCTTATATAAGGATAAAACTGTCATGTTTTAACAGCTTGTAAATTTATATATTTAATGATATGTGTGAATTTTTTAACTTCAGTTGTTGGGACAGGTACACATATGAGCAATAGATGGTGAAAACCGACATAGTAATAGTACTTTGGATATTGTATATTATTAGCTGTTTATTCTCTGTTTAAGCTTACATAAATATGTGGAAGTTAACTGGCATATTAGGTTTGGGTAACATTGAAATATTCAGCCTAAAAGAAAATAACTTTTAATATTGCTGAGTTATCTGTGTGACTTTGGCAATCCTTATAATAAATCATATATAGCTGTATTTGTTGATTATTTCCAGTTCCTTAATGAAACTAAGCACTTGCTTTAGGATTAACAAGTGCTAGCTTTGAAGTCTTAAAATTTCTGACATGGTTTTTTGTATTTCCACAGTTTAATGTGTATTATTTATTTTTTTCTTTTTGATATGTACAAAATGCCTTAATGTTTTCTTTACTTATTCCTAAGGTCACTTATGAAGCTCATAAGGAATACCTAGCCAAAATGTATGAAGAATATCAAAGACAAGAAGAGGAAAACATTAAAAAAGGAAAGAAAGGGAATGTGAGCACCATCTCTGGTCTTTCATCACAGACAACGGGAGCAAAAGGTGGAATGGAAATTCGAGAGATAGAAGATCTTTCACAAAGCCAGAGCCCAGAAAGTGAGACCGATTACCCTGTCAGCACAGATACTCGAGACTTACTCATGTCAACAAAAGTGTCAGATGATATACTTGGAAATTCAGATAGACCAGGAAGTGGTGTACATGTGGAAGTACATGATCTTTTAGTAGATATAAAAGCAGAGAAAGTGGAAGCAACAGAAGTAAAGCTCGATGATATGGATTTGTCACCGGAGACTTTAGTAGGTGGAGAGAATGGTGCCCTTGTGGAGGTTGAATCTCTGTTGGATAATGTATATAGTGCTGCTGTTGAGAAACTCCAGAACAATGTACATGGAAGTGTTGGTATCATTAAAAAAAATGAAGAAAAGGATAATGGTCCCTTGATAACATTAGCAGATGAGAAAGAAGACCTTCCCAATAGTAGTACATCATTTCTCTTTGATAAAATACCCAAACAGGAAGAAAAACTACTTCCTGAACTTTCTAGCAATCACATTATTCCAAATATTCAGGACACACAAGTACATCTTGGTGTTAGTGATGATCTTGGATTGCTTGCTCACATGACCGGTAGTGTAGACTTAACTTGTACATCTAGTATAATAGAAGAAAAAGAGTTCAAAATCCACACAACTTCAGATGGAATGAGCAGTATTTCTGAAAGAGACTTAGCGTCATCAGCTAAGGGGCTGGAGTATGCTGAAATGACTGCTACAACTCTGGAAACTGAGTCTTCTAGTAGCAAAATTGTACCAAATATTGATGCAGGAAGTATAATTTCAGATACTGAAAGGTCTGACGATGGCAAAGAATCAGGAAAAGAAATCCGAAAAATCCAAACAACTACTACGACACAAGTAAGCTACCTTATATGAGTTCTAGAAATAAAAAAAATGCTTGAATAGATAGAGTTGTTAGCACCAAAACAGAGTACTTTCTTATCAGTTACTTCCTGTTTATATTGAATTATAGCATAATAGTAATTTATGGAATGAAATAGTGTGGTATAATTTCATGTATATAAGAAATTAAAAATATCTCAAGTATATTTCCAACTCTGCCACATTCTTCTGTGTAACTTTGCTCAACCTCTCTGGGCCTAAGTTTCCTTATATAGTGCAAGAGGTTGTACTAAAGGATGACTAAGGTCTCTACCAGTTCTAACATTTTAAACTCTGTGACCACATTTACACATTTTGTACTCAAGATCTTCCTTCTGAATACTTGATTAATTTTAACCTTTTAAGCTTCAGGCCCAACCCTGTTCTGTGGATTATAGAAAAGAGGACTTGGAGCCCAGATTGAACTGATAAATGAAGGGGAAGGGAAAAGGGAACTGTTATTTATCCAGTGCCTACTATGTTCCAGGCACTGTGCTATATGTTTTCAGATTTAATCCTCACAACAACCCTGTGAGGTAGGTAATATGGCTGAGAAAAATTAGAATTATTAGCAGTGAGAATTTTCTGTACAACCACATGAATAGGAATTTGTTATAAGACAATTAAAGACTCTTAGGTCTGGTTGTTAGGAAATGTTAGTGCTTCAGTTTTGACCTCACTGGAATAAAGCTAAAAATAGATGATGTTTTCTGATACGGATTTTAATTGTTGAGCTTTGAGTTATGACTACTTCTTTATTTTCTAGGATAAATAATACCTTATGGTTAAGAGTTTAAGAAATAAGAATACTTTTCTCGTTAATGACTTGGGTTTTTTAATCCTCTGGGTGTCCCACTTGCCTTTTAATGTCATTGAAGATACATTGAATGTGTTTCCATTAGGGCTATACTTTGAGGAGTAAACCATGCCTGTCTTGTGTCTTTGTACTCCAGTAAGAATCCTTAATAATATATCATGTGTGTGGGGAAAGTATTTTTATTTTTTCTGTAACCGCCAATTTCCATTTTTTGTGGCAGTTGCATTGTAGTGATAATTGGCAGGAGATGAGAATACTGAATTAGATACAGATGTAAAATAAAGGAAAACATCATGCATTGTTGATTGAACAATAGGCTTGCCTGTTGAACACGAGGCTTGCCTGTTTTACATTTGGAGTTTATAGACATTTTTCTGGTTTGTTTTCTAACTTACCAAATGCATTTGTGTTTTTGAATGGAAGTATTATACGTGAAACAGATTTTAAAGTTGAATATTACTTGAAACTGTTCAAGTAATATTTTTTCTAATCGTGTGCTTTAGTTACAATTAGTTGATGACATATATCCAGTATACTTCACTTTGTATATGCTGACTTCAGTAAGGAAGTGATGTGGTCTAATTTAAAGACTCTTAATGGGGTCAAGAGGGTCTGGTTTTCAGTGTGAACTTTGGTGTTAGCTTTAGGTATTTGATTATCTTGCCTAGTTTCTGCAATAGTAAAGTAAAAGCAATAGTGGAGACTTCAGCCCAGAAAGTTTCCTGTGCAAGGAATTACCAGGTGAATAATATATGTGAAATATATTAAACTGCTAAAATCATATGCTAAAGCATTAAAGCATTGTTCACTTTACTATACTCACAGTTTCATTTTGAAATAAGGCATTTCTTTTGTATTCCACAAAAATTCACCTTTTCCTTCTTTAGGCTGTGCAGGGTCGGTCTATCACCCAACAAGACCGAGATCTCCGAGTTGATTTAGGATTTCGAGGAATGCCAATGACTGAAGAACAGCGGCGCCAGTTTAGCCCAGGTCCACGGACTACGATGTTTCGTATTCCTGAGTTTAAATGGTCTCCAATGCACCAGCGGCTTCTCACTGATTTGCTATTTGCATTAGAAACTGATGTACATGTCTGGAGGAGGTAGAAATATTTCTTTTTTATAAATTAAAAGCAAATATTTAAAATCTGCTGTTGCCTGTTCTATTTTAAAGAGACTTTACAAAACCAAAAATCTGCTTTGATTAAAGGAATTTCCACGTTTTTCTTGTTTCCTGTTTAAATTAATACCATGTACTAAATTTATTAGTGATAATATTATAATACATACTGTTTAAAGTTTAAAATCACCCTGTGACATGTGAATTCAGAGCCCGTAGTATTTGAGCAGTTAGTGGATATCAGTTCAAAGATAATAACTTAAAGACAACAAATCTACATAAATTAAACCATTGCCTTTCTAAATTTTCAATTTAATTTTTTAATAGTAAATGTGCAACAGATTAATTATGACAGCATATCATTTACATAGGCATGAATACAATTAGGAAGTTGATGGATATAAGTAACAAGGGCAACTTAAATGATCTAGCACAACATTCTTAGGAATGTCGGCTTCTATGCTTCTCATTTTCCTTTTAGGATTCAAGGTGGCTGCTTCAACTCCTAACATCAATTCATCATTAGAAACTTGCCCAAATTAAAAGGCAGAGATGACTCTTCTTCCTTCCTCTTCTTCCTATTTTTCCTCTGCCTCCTCTTCTTCTCTCTCCTCTTTCACTTTCTCTTTTTATTCTCCTCTTTTCTTCTTTTTTTTTAAAAGAAGCCCCTGAAGAAAAATCCCCCTTATATCTCATGAGACAGCAGGATCACATCCTCTTTCAAAATTAATCATCAGAAAAAGCAAATGAGATTATAATGACTGGTTTTTAGGGACTAATACTGGTTAATTAACTAGTAACTAGGGTGAGGCTAGTCTTTCCTATACCCAATCAAGCTCAATAATAGAACAAAATATAAAATATGTGTCAGCAGGGAAAAAGTTACGACTGTTGTGGAAGACGTCAATAAAGTCTGCCATAGAAAGATTTTGATTTTGATTTTATTTGATCAATTTGTTCTTACACTAATATATTTTCATTGCTAATTATTATATGATAAATTACCTAGAGATGGTAACTAAGGAAACCTAAATACCATGAAATATATTACTATTAGCATGAAGACCAGTGTATGGAGATAAATTATGTAATTTAATAATTATAATATCAGTAGCCTCCAAGTGAGTGATACTCAGCTTTTTTTCCATCCACCCCTACTCTGTGTTTTTGTTTTCTTTGATGGGCTCTCATGAAATTACCCAAGTAGAATTTAATGACATTTAAATTTTTTAAAGGTAGCACTTTATTTTTAGGAGGGGGAGAAACATCTTGAAATGTAAGATACACAGTGATAGATAATAATTCACAAATCTAAAAGGGTGAGAATTATTGACTTAATTTTGACCATGGAGTAATTTCTTTTTTTTAATCTTATTTTTTTTTCCCATTAAAAAACAGTTCAGGCCAGGTGTGGTAGCTCACGCCTATATCCCAGCACTTTGGGAAGCCAAGGCGGGAGGATAGCTGGAGCTCAGGAGTTCGAGACCAGGGCAAGATCCTGTTTCTACAAACATTAGCTAGGCGTGGTGGAGTCCACCTGTAGTCCCAGCTACTCGGAAATCTCCTGGGCCCAGGGAGGTTGAGGCTGCAGTGAGCCATGATCCCACCACTGCACTCTAGCCTGGGCGACAGCAGAAATCCTGTCTCAAAAAGAAAAAAAAAATTATATTCTTGACTGACACCAAACGAAAGCAGTGTATTTTTTTGACATCTACATTGTATGTTTTGTATGGGAATGCTGTACTACCAACTTAGTTTGAGATTTTGTTGCTTTTCTTATTAAATAAGTTCTTGAATTTGTACTGATTTATTTATATTCCCCTATCATGTCACTTCTTTAACAAGTACACCTTTTCAATGTGACTAGTCAAAGGTGGGGCTGAAGTCACTGGTGATGTGACAAATTGAAACCGCCTACAAAGTAAAACTTTCAGTTAAATTTTTAGGTTTTCAGTTTCAGATTTTATTTATAGGTACGAAAATTTTGAATTGGTTATATTCTGAGTTTCCATATTATTTTTAACATTAGACATACTTTTTATATTTAAAAGATTCTGCCTTTCAACAAAAAAAAATCAGATTTGGCAACATAAATATTTTTAGCCAAATTTATTGAATCAGTCATATGTCTTAGAAATCTATTCTATGTTTTTCAAGCAAAATAGTAATAATAATGAGTTAATATTCTTGGACACAACAAAATTCTGTGGAGATGAATGCTTAGTTTTTGGTAATATGATATCTCAGTTATAAATCGCTTTATTTTATAATAATTTTAAATATGGCTAGCTCCTACAATTCTATAATTTTTCACTTGTTATTCTAAGTAAATTGTCTAAGCTTTTCATTTAAGTAAGCCAAATACATACTCATTTCTGTTTTCTGTATTTTAGCCATTCCACAAAGTCTGTAATGGATTTTGTCAATAGCAATGAAAATATTATTTTTGTACATAACACAATTCACCTCATTTCCCAAATGGTAGACAACATCATCATTGCTTGTGGAGGAATTTTACCTTTGCTCTCTGCTGCTACATCACCAACTGTAAGTACTTTGCCTCCATCTAGTGGTTATATTTTATAATTACATGACTTGAGCATTTCAGTGGTGGTCTAGGCTGTAAACAGATTTTAAACGGACCTGTAATTTTTAGGGAACTTTTTGACCATATAAATTTCTGTTTCCACCACTTCTGTTTATCAGTGTTGGGTTCCAGCTATGTGTGCTTATGAAAATATTTCTCTGGTAATTCTGATGAATAAATGCTTCATCAGAAGAATATTGCATTCTTCATCAGAGATATTACATATCTCTTCAATTCTATAGTATAAATAAACTCTTAAAATTCTTGTTATTTAACATTTTCATTTATTTACTGATGCAACATTTATTTTACAAAATCTAGCCTTATCTTGATTTGTTTCTGTATTAAACAGTGAAATGTGTTAATACATTTTAAAGGCATTTAATGTTAATTGTGTATGTCATTTAAAATATAATAGGTCAATGTTAACTTTATATTTTGGTTGTCATTAAAAACAAAATCTTTGATTCATATCAAGGCAGACTCCATAGCTACTTGCTCAATGGGAAAGAATATAGAAATTTGCTTCCCATATTACCCGTGTTCTTGTTGCCGTATGGAAACTCATCCTTAAGCTCAGAAAGTTTACCTTGCCAGAGGGAAATCTTTCATTTTACTAAGATGTCTATTAGTTGGTGAGACACTGTTTCCAAGTTGATCTCTAAGTTTATTTCATCATTAACAAGTTTTTCTGTATGACTCTTTTTCTTACTGTCCTTTTGTCAATGCCACCACCATCACCAGAGCAGCAATGAAACTTCAACATTAGCAGCCACAGGCTATATCCTCACACACTTTCCCCAGTTGTTACTCTTCTATTTTATTCATGATTTTGCTCAAGAAGTCCACAAAGGGAAGCATTCCAGTTCAGAAGGAGGAATGCAACAGAGCAAGTCACCAGTAGGGCCTTAATCAAATTAGCAGCTGAACCAAGGAAATGGAGCTAGGAAGAACAGTATAAATGGTTGATGGTGTGTGAAGAGTGCAGATATACATACACCACTCCTTTTCTTTCATCTCTCTTTTCCTCTGGTGATTTATACCAAATTCTGGTAAGTTGAGAGTTATGTATGATTTTTAAAATGCTTTCTAATAGTGAGACATAGAGGGCATTTTCTTTCTTCTGTTTTCCTTTTTTTTTTTTTTAAATCAGAGTATCATTCTGTGACCCAGGCTGGAGTACAGTAGGGCGATCTCAGCTCATTGCAACATCCGCTTCCTGGGTTCAAGCAATTCTGCTGCCTCAGCCTCCCAAGTAGCTGGGATTACAGGTGTACACCACCACACCCAGCTAATTTTTGTATTTTTAGTAGAGACGGGGTTTCACCATGTTGGCCAGGCTGGTTCAAACTCCTGACCTCAAATGATCTGCCTGTCTCGACCTCCCAAAGTGCAGGGATTACAGGCATGAGCCACCCCTCCCGGCCAACTTTTTTTTGTTTTATATATTGAAGACCGAATAAATCAATACTTTCTTTGTGACATTTTTCTTGATTATATAAATTGCATTTTATGTCTTATAAATTATCATTTGTTATGAAGAAATTTTTTAAAGGTTGTATTGAAATTCACTTTGAAATGTAATATTGAATGTTTTTAAATTTTGCATGCAACAAAAAATGCTTTTTATATAAAAAAGAGTTTAGCAATAGGTTATTAAAATTTGTATAGGTTTAAAATATTCACATTATTAAATAGTTTTCCAAATTTTAAAGTCAAAAGATGTTTAGCTATTAAGATAGAATGTTCAAATAATGAAGTAAACTATAGCATATATACTATTGCACCAGTCAAATTTGCTTATTTATTTTGTGATGATTGTACAATAAAGATACTGATGCTTTGAGGTTGGCTTCCAAAATTATTACAATTCAATTTTGACCACTATAGTTTGGAATTTAAAATTATTTGTTACCTAGACTTTCTCAACAGACTTGGGAATTCGTTCAATTATAGAAACCTTTGTTTATTTTCTCAATTTCTGTATTTCTGTTATTTTGGCCCATTAACTGTTTGGACCTATGCCTGGTTGTACAACATACCTGATTTTATGTCTTCTGAATGAATTGCTTCCTTAAGAGAAATAGCCAAACCTTTCTCCCATTTTGTATCTGGTAAAACTATGATTGGTGCTGACTGTTGAATGTTGTTTCTGTATTACGGGGTTGTATAATATTCTTGCTAGAAGTTGTAACGTAGCAGAGGGAAAAAGTTAGGAAAGAAAAGGTTGAATAAAGAGGGAAATTAAACCTGAATATTTGGGCGTGTTATATTTAAATTAAAAGTGTAAAAAGCCAAAAGAGAATTTTGGAAGGGATAAGCAAAAAAAGGAAACATTGGTAACATGAAGATTACTGAAAGGTAACATTGTCTTGTAGGTGCTTTTAGAATTTTGATGCTAGATATATGAAGAGAGATTGAGACATTTGAAACTAAGGTTTGAGTGATCTCGTAATTTTGTTTATACATATAGTTTTTCAGAATATTCTTATTATATGCATTTTATGAAGAAATAGGAATAGTAATGGTTTATGGCAGTAGTTCGCAAACCTTTTTTGTATGGGGCCAGATGGGAAATATTTTAGGTTTCATTGGCAGTATTGTCATCTGTCACAGCTAGTCAACTCTGCTGTGATAGTACAAAAGCAGCAATAGACAATACATAAACAAATATTTTTTTGTCTGCTATTTCTATGAGAGTGACATAGAAGTGTTCTCTTTTCTGCCCTGGAAATGTTGATCAGTACAGTAATTTATACTAGAGATAACATTTTTGTATTGCTATTATAGTATCATCATGGAAGAAAAGTTTGAACTGTTTAATCTTAGTTGGAAGGAACATATCTTAATGGAAACTTAAGAAAAAAAAGAATATATATTGTTTATAATGATAGGTTGAGCACCTTGAACTTAGTACACTTGAAGAAGCAGCACTTTATGGGAGTTTCAGTTTTGCCTAGATTACTTAATTTCATATGTAGCATAGAAAATACATTACAAAAATAGTTTCAGAACTCTGACTTAGACCAATAGTTTTAACTGTAGTACTCAGAGAAAAAAAAAAAGACCTCTTAGTATGTAATTTGGCCAATCTTTGCTTTGGGAAAGCAGCAATATTTTTGTTGTTGATTTTTTAAGTTAATGTTTCTATGACTAGTTAATTGAATCCTCTCATTTGTTCTCTAATATATTGTTTAAGTTGGTCATGAATGAAAGCAAAAAATTGGAGAAGAAAAAGAAAAGCAAAGAACATGGATCAACCACAAATTGCACACTTTGTGATTTTAAGTTGACCACTTTGGTCAACCATCCTGAACACTGAATATTATGGAACTTAATTCAGGGCTTAATTTTCTCTGTCCCAGAAAAATAGTAGAGACTGACATTTCCAGCACTCCTAATAGTTTCATAATTATAAGAGAGAAGAACTGCTTTTTCTATTTTGTCCAAAAATAACGAAGTCTTACTTTAGTTTACTTATTTTTATTATCAGGATATATCAGAAATATATTCGGAAAAATTATGAATAATGTTGTTGGTTTTGCTTTTCTTTTGTTTATCTCATAGAACTGATCATACTTTACTATTCTCAGGATGCTTTTATGTGTTTTCCTATACAAAGTACCATGAAAATAGCATATTTTAAAATTTATACTCACATGTGCTTGTCAAAAATTAGAAAGTAAGAATAATTGATTTTTATTGTGAAGCCTAATTCTATCTGATATTTGAATATAATGAATGTAATTATTAATAAGAATCTGAACTTAGTATAATACCTATTTAATTACCTTTATTCATATTCAGGCATCGTTTAGTATATCAAGTTATTTTCTAGCATGGGAAAGTGGTTTATAAGTTATAATCTCTCAAATATTTTATTCTTTTATTAACTTCTGGGAATTTTCAACTATAGGAAGGGTTCTGTATATTTGAGAAAACAAATTACATTATTTCCTTATGGAAAATTCTAGAGGTTGGTATAAATAGTTCATTTCCCTGAGTCATTTCTGCCTAAACCAGAATTGAGGTAGGGATTTTACAGAGGCATTATATTAGCTTATTTATTAAAATGTTCTATTAATTATAGGAAAAGATACTTGCTTTGTAAAATAGAGTATGCATTATTTCTAATATATGAACTATACTTATATATATATATTATTTGGGCAGAGTTACTACAATAAAAAATAAATTGAAGTCTAAATATTTGATGTTTAACCTTGATCATATGTAATTTCTAAAATGAAAATCTCTTCTGAGAATTTTGCTTTTAATAAAATAATTAAATATAATTTTAAAATATATTATTTTGTGTTTCAATTTTACATTGTATTTTCATTTAATTTAATAATTTCCTTTTCTTGTACTTTTTTGGTCTGTTGTCTGTTTTGTCTAATGCATGTCCAGGGTTCTAAGGTTAGTATTACTTTTGTAGTAATTTTCAGCTTTTCAGTTTCAAGTTTTATTTTTACTTATTTATGAAATTTTTGACTTGGTTATATTTTGAGTTTCCATATCATCTTTAACATTAGACATATATTTTGTATATTTAAAAGAGTCATTGAAAGGATTACTTTCCCAATGCATTGATATATTACTATTTTATTATGCACAATAATCTCTAGATTAAACTATCGTAATGAACACAATGGTGTTACAGTCATATGTACAATCAGATTTTAATTGGTTCTAAGGAAAGTAAATTAGATGAAATATATTATTTTAAGATTTAATAATTGTATGAGAGTGATATTTATTTTTTAGCCCTATCTTTTGCTGCTTACATACTTCATTTTTTAAATTACTTTTATATAAAATGGAATACAAATTCTGTTTCAGACTATTGTGTCGAAAATGCCTTTTACTTTAAAATTTAATTTTTTCAGTCAAAAAAACACTTTGGTGGATTATATGGACACCTTAATAATTCTATTTATAATTCACTCATTTTGAAATGAAAGCATAGTTTGATAGGTCAAAACACTCAAAACCATTAAATAATGAATATAAAGAGATAGCTATCTTGCAATTTCAGTGATTCAAAATGATGAAGAATTTCTTTGAGAACACAGATCAGGATATTCTAAATTCTAATGTTTGAAAAATTATTTACAGTACTTGATAGACCTAAGAAATGGCCAAGTCTTCATTCCTTTATAGAACATTTTAAATGGAAACAGATTTTAAATGAATTTTTTGCTTTTTCTTGTTAGCTATGATGTCATGGTCATAGATTTTAATTGATATTATGAAGTGATGCTATATATTCATGAAGTGCTAAGAAGTAAAGAATCTGCATTTTAAAGTCTAAGTAATGAATTAATCATTTCTTTATGCCGTGTGTACTGAATTGGCATAATGTTGTAACAACTGAAAACACATTTCTGTCTCTTTCCAGGCTCATTTTAGAGAATGATTTTGACCCTATTTTGTTGTTAAATGGAAGGAGGAATGGTTGTTACATTTTATACATCATTTAAAACTGAGCTTAGTTATATAATGCTTGCAGTTGTCACCTATCATTTTTATTACCCACTTTGTACACAAGAAATGTTTTGAGTATTTTGAGGTTTTTTTTTTTTTCAGTGTTTTCTGCTCACATTTCCATGTTAATGCTCCTGCTTCTTCAAGGAGGGAGAAGGTTAGGTATAATGATGGCTATAAACAATGTCAAAATGAAACATTGAATAGGAGTAGATACCTATTACATATGCTAACCTTGTAGTTGAATTTATCATTTGGTTAAGAGGTAATGTTGATTGGAATGGCTAGTGTGCCCGTTTTCAGAAAATTTAAATAATATTTTTTTTGCTTATAGAGTATTCCCTTTCTTTGTTCCTTGAGGCACTGATAAAATGTGGCCTGGTCATAAGGAACAAAAATAATTAAAATGCTATATAGTCCACGGTGCAAAACAAAATAAGAAATGTTGACATTGTTTAAAAAACCATAATGTTGTGCATTTTAAGAAACACAATACTTTGTAATATTCCCTCTGAAATCAGAAATGTAGTGAAAGTAGTTTCCAATCTAGAATGCTGTGATTCTTTTTATTACTAGTGTTTTATAAGTCACGAGTTAAATATCTGTAGACGAGTTAGTGATCTTGATTATTTTTACTCTGGAGTTTTATTGTACATGTAAAGTACCTAGTAGTTTCAGTTTACTCTAAAATGGATAAGAAATTGTTATGTACTCTAATTTGACAGCCATCTCATTTTGATACTAAGTAAAATTACCATATATTTTCCCTATTATTCATCATAAATCTATAGGAAAGAAAAATTAAAGCATATATTTTTATTAATGGGAATGAAGATTTTAGGAAAGAAATATCAATGTAAAATCTTTATAAATTACAAAACAAAACTAGTATAAGTACATATATGTGGTTCTCTCTAAATATCTTTGTGAAATGATCTTAAGTTTAGAATGTCATTTTTATAACTAAAGACATTTAAAGCTAATGTTGATTTTAAAATGGGCTTTTCCTTTATTCAAGGATAATTGATAGGTAAAGTAAACAAATTCGGTAACCAGCTCTGGTGATGTATGGAATTAGTTGATCTTTTATTTTATTAATAAAATATGATAAATATATTAAATTTGTGTTCACCTGTAGTATGTATGTATATGTATTATATTTCCAAATTTTAAACAAGACTTAAATCTTCTACTTTTCTAAAGACGGAATTGGAAAATATTGAAGTGACACAAGGCATGTCAGCTGAGACAGCAGTAACTTTCCTCAGCCGGCTCATGGCTATGGTTGATGTACTTGTGTTTGCAAGCTCTCTAAATTTTAGTGAGATTGAAGCTGAGAAAAACATGTCTTCTGGGGGTTTAATGCGACAGTGCCTAAGATTAGGTAAGTCTGTTAAAACAGTAATGCATGTCAAATAATTATCTACAGATCAGCCTTATAAAGCGCTATGGTACATAAAATATTGATGATCTAAGTTGATGATTTTATAATATAGAGATTATCTTGAGATATAGAGATTGTTTTTATAATTAATCAGAATTACTCAATTTTAAAAAATTATGCCTTCACGTTGGAGATTTCACAGAACTGATCATCTTTAATGGCTCATAATTTGAAATCAAGAGTGAAATATACTTGAAATTCTTTCAAAATCAATAAGACTATCAATTTGTCATTGAAGTGATTTTAATGCAAATCCATTTATGAATCCAATTTTGGTAAACTAATACTGAGGGTAGTGTCCTGGCCCCACAAACATGTCAGATACACATAATGCTAGAAGGTTAAAATAAACTATCCTAATCTTACTTGGGGTGAACAAATGTCCCTAATAAACATTGTTATACCCATGCTGTTCGCCTTTTATCTGTGAGGCAGTGAAACTTTAGCACTGAAACCTCTTAGTAAATCTGAATGAATTTCTTAGGTAAGAACCATTTCTACTTCTCTTAAAAGGAACATTTATTTACACTATTTAGACTTTCAAAACAACCAGAAAACTGCTCTTTTTGTACTTGCCTTAGATCATGAGCAGGACATAAGAACTGCAAGGCATGAAATAGGGAGGACGTTCCTGATACGTACCGTTTTCACCCATAACTTTTAAAGATTATGTCAAAAATTCATTTCTGATTCAAGAAAGGAACAAAGATTTGGTTTAAGAATGGTAGGATGAAACCTCTTTTTTTCGTTTGTTTCATATTATTTATTTAAAGACAGGCAAGCTGAGAGGAATCATTTTGTATTCATTTCAAGAGAAAGACCACATTAAGATCTTTCTGGCAACCAAGAGGTGTGGGGTAACTGACTGTGGGCCATTAAGGACATTTCCATTGACGTATAACAAGAGCTGCCAAATGAACTGTGTGAGAAAGAGATTATATTTTTTAAAAATGGCTCAATATCTTGAAACCTGCATTTATTTGGTTATTCTGCACTTTTATTTTTAAATATAGTCCAAGACTTTACTCCCTGTTTCATTTTTATCCTAACACTACTAGCACATTTAGTTGTTTCATCAACCACAGAAAACTTTTATAAGTGAATAATAATAAAACACTTTTATATTACCTCCTATGCTATTTACTGTTCTAAGCACTTTCTGTATATTCAGTTAATCCTCACAGCAACCCTCTAAGGCAGTTACTTTGTTCATCCTCATTTTACATGTGCAAAAACTGAGGCACAGATAGTTTAAGCAGCTGGCCTAAAACCACACAGCTCCAAACCGGAAAATACAGGATTCAAACTCAGGTGGTCTGATTTCAAACTCTGTACTATTTGTCCCAGTACTCTACTGCTTCTTAAAATAAATGAGTAAATAAAAATGTGTACATATTGAATGCTTATTGTCAAAGCCCAGAGACTTTCCCAACATGAAGGAAGGTGGATTTGGGGACCTGTGATACTTGAGTGTACAGAGGTACTCTATTATTGACTGAAATGGGAAGTTGTACTCAGTAGAGTCGACAAGATAGTCAAATTAAGGGCGGAAGCTTTATTAAATTTTTAAATCAAATATGAGCTTTAGTTTAAAAAAATTTTATTGATCCATAAATTCAGAACTGTGAAGCTCAGATGGTAATAGAATAAGGAAGGATACACTGGGGGTTTCAGAGCCTCTGGTAATGTTTTATTTCTTCAGCTGGCTGGTGGTATATGGGTATTTTGTTTTATTTTTAGCTGTATGTATATTTTGTAGGTACTTTCACTATTATATTTCATAATTTTAAAAATTATTGCTCTAGTTGATTTGAAGATTAATAATTTATGAAGCAAGGGGAAAGAAAGGGAAGAAGAAATAAACTTGCAACTTTTTCCAGGATATCAAAGTCAACAATTTATATTAACAATATGTTTTTGAATTTTTAAATAGTTTGTTGTGTTGCTGTGAGAAACTGTTTAGAATGTCGGCAAAGACAGAGAGACAGGGGAAATAAATCTTCCCATGGAAGCAGTAAACCTCAGGAAGTTCCCCAAAGTGTGACTGCCACAGCAGCTTCGAAGGTAAGTAAACTTTTTTTTTGGTCAAATATAATTGACCTGAAAAAAGTCTTTTTTAAGTTGATGAGAACAAAGTGCCATGGTAGAGAGCAAGGGCATTCTCATCAGGCAGCTCTAGGCTGCTTCACAATTTTCTTACCAAGATTACTTAACTTCTCTGAGATTTGTGTGTTTTGGTTATTAAATGAAGTTACTAACAATTCTACTTGATAAAGTTCTTAAAATATTATAATTAGCACTAAAAATGGTTATTTCTATTTTTAATTGTCATATATTTTCACAGAGTTTAATGTATGAGTAGTAATTCTCCTTTTAAATGGGTAGGCATAATAGTCAACAAAAACTCATTGAATCCCCATTCAATGAATGGAGTATTTTGAAATATACTATTAATTTTCTTTCTAAATCAGCTCTCTTTATCATATGCTTAACTGGCCCTTGGTGTCACATCCGGTTTCATTAACATGCTTTCTGAGGTTCTGTGCCTGGTCCTTGCTTACTTCTCCGGCAGCAGCTCTCAGCCCATCAAAAGAAGCAATTTCCCCTAACTTCTCAGACTTTTATATAATTTCCTTTCCATGAAGTATTCGTCCTTATTTTTTATCCAGCTAAAATCTGTGCAACTACTGGGTTACATTAAATGCTACGTTTTCTCAGGAAAATGTTTTTTGACACCCTCACTACCACCCCAGTCAGTCTAGGGTCGTTTCTTCTGTTTGTTGTTTTCATAAAATTACATAGGTCTGTTATCACTCATTATACTTGTAATTACATGTTTAATGTTGATACAGTAACTTTTTGCTCAATAAGTGAAGGTATGAAATAGAAGTTTAATTCATCTTAAAGTTCTATTGCTTTAAACTTCTGCAGATGGCAAGCAAACTGACTGTATATTTATCCTATTAGTCGGTTATTTGCAGTATTGTAGCTTTTTTCCATTTCACTACTCTCAGAGAACATTTGTAATTTGACTATATATTATGTGCTGCTCACAGGACTCCATAGTGCTCTTATTTGCTTGGGAAATTAAATACAAATGGATCATCAATAATGCCTCATATCATTTGTATAGGCATAATAGACAGGTACTTGAGGAGAGTGTCTATGTGTTATAGATCCTTGTAACTTTAGAGTAATTTTTTTTTTTGAGGCGGAGTCTCGCTCTGTTGCCAGGGTGGAGTGTAATGGCGCAATCTTGGCTCACTGCAACCTCCTGGGTTCAAGCGATTCTCCTGCCTCAGCCTCCCAAGTAGCTGGGACTACAGTAGGAAAGTTTCTTGCAAGTTTCTTGCATGAGTTCCATACCTTCATGCAACCTCATTTTTATACTGTGTGAAAAGGAACAATTACGCAAGCTTTTCCTATCATGTTGTCTTTATAAGGATCAAATTAGATTGGGGTAGAGAAATACATCATATAGAAAAGAAAATATTTCTGATTTTAAAGTCTGTGTTATTTATGCTGTAAATTATGTATTATTTTCTTTAACCACCCTGTAGTAAATATTATTAGTCTATTACATCAAATGATGTAGCTGAGGTTCAGAGAGGTTAACTTCTCACCGATGGTCATATAGCCAGAAGTTTTGGAATTGTAATGGAAACCAAATACTATCAACCTTTAAATATTTTACTATGGTGTGCTACCAAGTAATCAAACATTTTAATTTTGGGGTAGAATATCATGATTGACATTCATTGAGAAATAGAAAGTACCCTGTTTATTTTTCATTGTTAGAGTAACAACAAGTACATACCTATTATAGGCTGGAATTGTATTTTGCATTATACGTGTTATCTAATTTAATCTATACCGTTTTTAACACACTGTATAAGTGAGAAAGTACTTGATTGAGTTTCAGGGAACCTAGTTCTCTTAGTAGTCTACTATGTGACTACATTACCTGAAATTTGTAGATGTTTGTTCCTTCAACTATAAAATGTTTTGTTGGTAACAATCTTTAATGTCTTTCAGCTTTGATGGGCCGTGACTGATTTTTTTTAATCTTACCTTTTCTAACCTTGGATAGACCATGAAATGGTTACACATATAAAATCTCATATAGTAATGTAGTATAATAATCTCATATATTATAAAAAGCATGATGGATAAATGAACCCAGAGACTCAATGAGATTTGTTAACTAGAGGTAGAGAAAGTGAGGCTCAGGAAATCTTCTGAAGTCCAAGATGAATCTTTATTCTTCCACAACCTTACCTGCCTTTATGAGTCTATAGGGCAGCTGTGCCAGTGAAGAACAAGAATGCTAGTATGGAAACCATGACATGAGTAGAGAACAGAAAATGTGCATTGTAATAGAGGATTATTATGAATAAATCTCAACTCAGAGAGGAGGAGATACATGATGTGGCCAGTTTAGCATGAATTAAGAAATGATACTTCTATATATTGTCTGTAATATATTATCTATTCACAATTCTTTTTATTTTTAAAGACTCCATTGGAAAATGTTCCAGGTAACCTTTCTCCTATTAAGGATCCTGATAGACTTCTTCAGGATGTTGATATCAATCGCCTTCGTGCTGTTGTCTTTCGGGATGTGGTAAGTTATCCGTGATTGCTTTCCCTGAAATAAACCTTCTACTGTCATTCTTATGAAATACGTTTTATAAGAAAGCTGCTTATGAAAATGACATTCCCTAGTATCTGGGATTGTTGGTTTATTGCATACTTCTCATTATAAAATGGTTGAACCTTAGCTTTCTCTGAAAACTTATTGATAATGTTAGTTTTAAAAAATGGCCTGAAATTTTGATGTAAGTTGCTTGCATACTAAAAATAGGACTAGCTCTGAAAAATTATAATTAATTTTATCTTGTAACATCTACTTCTTTGTTAGTATTCCTTGCTCCATTTCCAGGTACTAAAAATTTGTTATTAATGTTCCTTACATTATGGATGAAAGGGATTAATTCATTAAGTGTTACTGACAATTGCTTTTGGAGGAGGGGCAATTAAAGAATAATCTGCATTTTAAAAATACAGGTATCTATGGGAATTGGAGTTAGAAAGATAGCTTAATAAAGCTAAAGGGAAAAGATAGGTTAAAGAGGTGTCATGGAACCCTCCAATCTTATGATCAGTTACTCCAGGTAAGTAAAAGTAAGACTGACCTTTTCAGAAATTGCATAGAAACATATATGGTGTTTCACATCAGATTCAATGCTGACAGCATCTCTTAACATAGTTATTATAAACCAGCCACTTTGAATTCTGTTTTTCTTATTTTAGTTGATGATTCTTACTTAGTTGTTGATTCTATATGAAATGTAGAAGAAAGGTTATATTTGAAACTTATATTTAACGGTAAATTAAATGGCATGCTTTGTACTTTAGAAAATGATTAAAATATGTTTAGGTTATATAAAATAATGCTGTATGTTAGGAATGTACAATAGAAAAATCGTCACTCTGTTTAATATATATTATTTATAAAATGCTGGGAAAATTCCAAACATACCAACAGAAAAATAGGCAATGGACACAAGGCAACAAACATGATAAAAATTCAGTATCCCTAGTAGTCAACAGAATGCAGATTAACACAAGAGTGATATATTTTTCACTATTAAATAAACTAAAAAATTTTAAATGATCATACCTAGCATTGCCTGGGTGCAGCGAAACCTGCTCTGTCAAACTAGTGTTTGAGCTTTCAAATAGCTCTTTGCCAGTATGGTTAAAACTCTTACAAATATTGATGTCCCAATGAACCACTAGAACCCAGTGGTTCTAGTCAGAATTTGTTTAACTTAATGTTTTCATCAGAGATGTCTACAGGAAATTTGGCAACATTATAAATATCCAATAATAGAATTTTGGCCTAAAAAATCTTGACCTAGTCGTTTGGCAGTGTCTTATTCAGCCTTTAAGCACATATTTCTGAAGGAAATTTAATGACAAGGGAAAATGATCATGATATATTTTAAGAGAAAGCAACAGCATGTAAAAATACTTATATTACACAAGTATTACATATGTATACTGATTGTATGTACGTACATATGTACATCTTTATTTTTAAAAAATGACTGAAAAAATATACCAGTATTCCACCAATGATAATCTCTAGGTAAACAGATTTTATTTTTTTCTTTATCCTTTAATGATTTTTTGTAGTTTTAAATTTTCTATAATAAACCTATATTGTGTTTATAATTAATAAAAAAGGAAGGTATTTTTTTTAAAAGGGAGACTACAGTAAAGTATAAAAACCACAATGTAAGAACTCACTGTAATCTAAACTGTAATCTAAGCTTGGAAAGAAGATACCGTTCTTACTGACAGTTTAACCATTTAGAAATGGGAATAGTCATCATGAAAAAAATGTGCTGTGGAAAGGATTTTTTTTTTTTAATGAATGAATGATTAAAAACATGGAACACATCTTCACCTCCAAAGGCACAGTCAGATGTAACATATAACATACTGAAGGAGTTTCTATTAAGGGTGACATTGTGTTTAACTTGTTAGTAAATTTTGAATTAGGTTATATGGTAGATGATGATCATTTCTCTTAAATTCATGGATATTTTATAAATATTTTGGATAACCCAGCAGTCATTATATCTGTGAAATATGGTGATGAAAAGAGAATTCTTTGGAAAGATCTGGGTTGGAATTCTGACTCTACCTTATACCAGTTGTGTGGTCTCAGTGTTTCTGAGTCTTAACTTTTTCTTAACCCTTAACTGGAAGCTTAGGATAATATGGATTTAGTGCTTAATACATAACATAAACCCAATTAACACAAGTTATATTACCTTGATGTTGTTGGGAAGGTACACCATGGCAACACTTAAAGCAGATAGGAGAAACATTATACAGCTCATGTCTTCTCAGTAATAAAATACCTGAGCAAGTCAATTAATTTGTGGAAAAATGTAGTCATTCCCCAGATGTTTAGCCTCTATCTATATTGACAGAACTGGAAATAAGAAGCACAATTGTCTAGGATGTCTGTATTAAAAAAAAAAAAAAAGCTAACCCTTTTCATGCCATATATAAAGGAGGTTTTCGTCTAGCTATGACAGCAGTTTAGTGTCTGTTATTTACAGCTCTGCCACTCTGTAGTTGGCATTCATTCATTCATTCATTCTACACATATTTGTTGAATGCCTTCTGATTGCCTGGTACTGAGTTTCTAGTGTTAGAAATAGAAGTATTGTGGGATATTATGATCTGTCACAGCTTGAGCAATGTGTGAATCAGTTCTTGGTCAGTATCTTTTCTTAATCTGATTGTGCTTCATTTTCCTTTGTAATAACTGCTTAGGTATTTGATTTCTTCACTTCTCTCTGTGTTTATCCTATCAGCTTTTAATGTAAAGAATATGCATTTTAAACAGTTTGTAAGACAAAGTATCTGTAGAAAAACTGTAACCCACAATGTATGAAATAGTAAATTGAGAATAATTCGGAACAGATTTTATGTATTTTGGTCATTTTCCCCATTAGCCAGACTGTTTCACACTATTAAATCATCAGTAAATATGTCTTATTTGCTTTTTGCTTACAAATGCACATAAATTATGAATTTTGTTTGCATTGTGCTTAGATGAAGTAATAAATATAAAGTGCCTGTTAATCAAGTTACTAGAATTTATTGCTTATTTGTTTTCCTTATTTCTTATTCTGCCTATTATCTGTAGGCCACAGTAACTGCTTTCAGTTTTGGTTTGAAAGTATCAGTTTTACCTAGCTTATAAAAGAAGCTTAATAAAGGTTCACATTTTATTCCTTAGATATACTCTAGTGTATTAGAGGTCACATAATTTAGACTTGATACTTATCATTATTTCCCTGGAAGAAGTTTATCTAGGCTTTTTGAATAGAGCTCTCAAGGTTACATGCAGCTTGTTATATTTTTGGAAGCATACTTATTTTAAAGTTATCTCTCTTACCACATCACAGCCAGTGTTTTAACTGTCATTGCTTTCTGAGTTAGACAGTTTTTTTCAGACCTTTTACCATTTGCTGTTCTCCTCTGGAAAAACTCCATTTTATCTTTGAGTTTGGAAATGAGGAGCCTGAAATACTGGCAGTGTTTTAGAGGTCATTTTTGCTGTGCAGAATAGTGGACTATTATTTCTTTTTTAAAAATGTTTTATTTCCATAGGTTTTTGGGGAACAGTAGTATTTGAATACATAAGTTCTTTAGTGGCAATTTATGAGATTTTGATGTACCCGTCACCTGAGCAATATATACTGAACCCAATTTGTAGTCTTTTTATCCCTTACCCACTTCGCACCCTTTTCCCTCCTAGTCCCCAGACTCCGTTGTATCATTTTTATGCCTTTGTATCATAGCTTAGCTTCCACTTATGAGTGAGAACATATGATGGCTTTCCATTCCAGAGTTACTTACTTCACTTAGAATAATAGTCTCCGATCCCATCCAGGTTGCTGTGAATGCCATTATTTCGTTACTTTTTATGGCTGAGTAGTATGACGTAGTGTATATGTACCACAGTTTCTTTATCCATTCATTGATTGATGGGCGTTTGGGCTGGTTCCACATTTTTGCGATTGAAAATTGTGCTGCTATAAACATGCATGTGCAAATATCTTTTTCATATAATGACTTCTTTTCCTCTGGGTAAATACCCAGTAGTGGGATTCCGGGATCAAATGATAATTCTTTTAGTTCTTTAGGAAATCTCCACACTGTTTTCCACAGTGGTTGTACTGGTTTACATTCCCACCAGCAGTGTAGAAGTGTTTCCTTTTCATGGCATCTGTGCTAATATCTATTTTTTTTTTTTATTATGGCCATTCTTGTGAGAGTAAGGTGGTATTACACTGTGGTTTTGATTTGCATTTCCCTGATAGTGATGTTGAGCATTTTTTCATGTATTTGTTGGCCATTTGTATATCTTCTTTTGAGGATTGTCTATGTCTTTAGCCCACTTTTAGATGAGTTTTTTTTTTTTTTTTTTTTTTCCTAATTTGTTTGAGTTCCTTGTAGATTGTGGCTATTAGTCCTTTGTTGGATGTATAGATTGTGAAGAATTTCTCCCTCTCTGTGAGTTGTCTGTTTATTCTGCTGACTGATCCTTTTGCTGTGCAGAAGCTCTTTAGTTTAATCCTGCCTGTTTATCTTTGTTTTTGTTGCATTTGCTTTTGGGTTCTAGGTCATGAAATCTTTGCCTAAGCCAATGTCTAGAAGGATTTGTGAAATGTTACCTGTTGATATGATTGAAGATTGAATTAACTTTTTCTCATGCTGCCATAATCACACTTCTGGCTCATATTGAGCTTATGTAAATTCATGTTTAATGCTCCCCCATTGTTTACTTCTCCTCTATTTCGTGTTCATATAGTCTCTTGCTCCAGTTATGCTAGGATTTTATATGTATTTCAGTTGTAGTTTTATCCTATTAATTTTATTCAGTTATAATATATAAAACTCTTGATTTTTAAAAAATTCGGGACATTAAATTATTCTTTTCAACTTTGTGCCATCTATGTATTTTATAAGCACACATAGTATGTCGTTATGTAAGTAGTAGATAATAATGGACAAAAAAGGACAAATAATAAAATTTTAATATTCTAGTTTTTGGAAATTACTTTCCAACCTATAGATGATATATTTTGGGAGTTTTATATTTGTAGTTAAATAATACTTATTAAATAAAAATATATATTTAGCAGGTTTTCATAAAAGTTACATATCATATTTTGCCTCCATAAACATAATGAAATAGCAGTTTCTAGTGCTTTAAGAACTTATACTTTAAAAAGTTAGAGTGTTAAAACTGTCTTTTCATTTTTCATAGGATGATAGCAAACAGGCACAGTTCTTAGCTCTGGCTGTTGTTTACTTCATTTCGGTTCTGATGGTTTCCAAGTATCGTGACATATTAGAACCCCAGAGAGAGACTACAAGAACTGGAAGCCAACCAGGTAGAAACATCAGACAAGAAATAAATTCACCAACAAGTACAGGTACTTAACATTGTATAATTATTTGAATTTTCACCATGATGTATCTCCTTTTTTTTTCACCTTTACATCTGGATTTGAACTGGACCTCTTCATAATCACCTCAAATATTTATGAATGGTTGGTATAGAAATGCTAATTTAGTATTCCTTAATTCCACAAAAATGTATGAATGGTATTTCTATATAGTTGCGACGTTCTCATCAGTACAGCTTTGGTTTCAGTGTTTCTCATTTATTAATATAAATCATTAATTTATACCATTATTTAATATACAAGTAACTCCTACATTTTTAAATGTATTACTTTTTTAACCTTTATGAACATAGAAGTAGAAAGTCATTATAGAGTTATTAATGCCAGGGATAAGTCAAAATACACATCTTTATAGCCAAGCTCAGAAGTTGGATTTTTTCTTTTTTAACTGTATATAGTTAATTCAGTATCTAAATATTCTGTCAGTGATTTATAATCAAACATGTGTTCTAAACTTTATACCAAAGTGGCCTCAACTAAAATCAAAGACTTGTGGAAAGTTAACATGGACAACAATGAACCACCTTGGGTCATGCTGCCTTTTTCATTTGCAGAAAATGCTCATGTTGCATCTGTTCTTGCATTACTAGCTTTGCCCACTCTACTTGAACAGCGTAAACACAGTTTCTGGCAACTAACATTTTAATATTGGACACCTATCATTGTCATTTCCTTCCAGGTGTTTATATCAAGGTTGTTTCTCTATTGTTTGCAGTGAGACCTTGATAACCTAATGGTTATTTCATATACCACTGGATTAATTTGTAGTTGAAATTTTCTTTCCTAAATAAATGCATATGATTTATAAATAAAATGGATATTTTAAAAAGTGAGTAGAAATTAGTGGTCAAATCTCTGCATCTTGTTTTTCATAAGCATATCATATTTCATATACCTTTTATTGATGTCATATAGATATGGATTATGGTTTAGCTACAATATTTTGCTGTTGCATGATACATGTACTTTTAACGCCTAAACATGAGAATTTTTCATTATAATATACTTTCACTTTTAATTTTATTCTTCAGATTAAACATCATCCTACCATTCCAGTTCATGTTTTTTCACCATTTAAAACACAGACTTATCATCTTAATTCTTTTCATTTTTAATGCTTTTATATCCATTATATGTACAAAAAGTAATAGTGTAGTGAACCTTCTAGTTCTGATTTTCTTGTGTATTTGTATGTCTCTGTGTATGTTGCTAGAATTACTCTGCTTAACAAGTGTATTATTTTCTTTCTCTTAATACTTAACCTCTTTTCTTCAGAAATGCATTTGTTATTGCTAGTATTGTTTGCATGTTGCAGCAATATAGAATTGTCATGGATCTTCAGTGGACCATGTTGCAGGTTGTTACATGCTGGCTCAAATTTGATTCCATGATTTTCTCCACAGTTGTGGTCATACCATCTATCCCTCATCCAAGTTTGAACCATGGATTCCTTGCCAAGTTAATTCCTGAGCAGAGCTTTGGCCACTCATTTTACAAAGGTAATATTGACCTCATCTCCTGACCTGTTTGGGTATTCTTATTTCATGAATTGTTATAAAATAAATATTCATGATATAATTGTTTATAAACAAGTATATACCTCAGGTTTCATGGAGATATGAAACATTGTATTTATACCTAGCTATTGAGAGCCTTTATATTTGTATTTTATTACATTTCTTTAAGTATCATCTGTAAATTAAGGATACCTAATTATATGTGTATTAATATGCATAATGGTAGCACTCAGGAGAGATCTCAGGAGAGTCACAATTTAGTAGTCGTGGGACTAAATGAGCCTAATATAAAGGCTACTCTAGAATAAAGCTTAAAAGCATGCCTCAAAAGCATCAAACTCATCTATAAGTTATTTAACTTCCAGTTAGAACAAAGCCCCAACACTGTTTAAAGGAATGCGAAAGTCCTTACCAAAAACCATAAAATTAAATGTTAGACATCCAACAAAAATTGTTAAACATGCAAAGAAGGAGGAAAATGTGATACATAAGCAAAAGAAAAATATCAGTGAATAGAAACAGATTTTGAGACAACAGAAATGGCAGAATTATCAGATAAGGACATTATAGAAGCCATTATATGTATATTCAAGATATTTTTCAATTTAATGGAAAAAAGTTAACGTATTGAGGAGAGAAATGGAAGATATAAAGAAAAAAATGACAATTTTAGAGATGAAAAATACAATAGCCAAAATGATAATATCTTTGGGTAGGAGTAACATGAGATTACTGACTTCAGAACAAAAGATTGTAATAGGTAGAACTCTGTGATAGCTCCAGGGTTTTCCTGTGTACACACTCTGCAAAATTCCTGGGATGGTAAATATGATGGTGTTTACCCCTGTGATTAGGTTATGCTGAATGGCACATTAGCCTTTAAGAAATGGTGATTATCCAGGTGGGCTTGACCTAATCGCATGAGCTCTGTAAAAGAAGAGGGTTTCCTTCTCTGGTCACAGAACAGGAAGTCCAAGAGACTTGAAATGTGAGAGAGATTTGACATGAAGGAGGATCTTTATTGCTTAGATGGAGGAGCAAGGATCTGAGGAAACCATATAGCTAATAGCACTCACCAGCTGACAGCCAGCAAGAAAGTGGGGACTTTAGTCCTACAGCAGGAAGGAACTGAATTCTGCCAATAATTGAATGAGTTTTGAAGAGGACGCCGAGCTCCAGGTGATACGATACTTCAACATATTCCATAAGTAGCTAATCATTTGGAACAGCAATTTTTGGAACAAATAAAGCTAGCAAAAATATTTTTGTTACAACTTAATGAACGTACAGATACTATTTTTTACAAATGTGCAACCTTTCAACAGCATGATGAAATGAAAAATATTGTTCTCAACTTCACTGCTGACTGACAAACACATCTAGCTCTAAACTGTGCAAACCAAAAAAAAGGATGAGATTGTCAGCAGACATCTTCTGGAGTTTGTCTGGTGGAGTGTGTTCTAAAGGCTCTGCTATGGAAAGTATCCTGGTGTATCTGCCCAGATTAAGGAGCCTGTATCAGAATATTAATGCACGTTGTCAAGAAAGTCTTGCTATGAAAATAGTTTCAGTTACACTGAACAGTGGTGTTAGTAGCATAATAAAATTTTGAATTACTTTAAGGCCAATGTGGTAAATTTGCTATTATTCTTTGTATTATGTGATATTATGGCAGATTATCATAACTTACGGCATGCTGTAGTGCAGTGGTTATTGGGGGAAAGTGTCTGTCAAATATTTTTCATGAACTCAATGCTTCCAAACAGGGAAAGATATTTTTTCATGGTAGGTATGATCAAAGAACACAAAAGTTAAAATCTTAGAGGTACACAATTTCTATGACATGTTTCACAATTTAATAATAATTATCGACCCAGCTTGGTGGCACATGCCTATAATCCCAGCATTTTGGGAGGCCGAGGAGAGGGGACAGCTTGAGACCAGGAGTTTGAGACCAGCCTGGTGGGCAGCGTAGTGAGACACCGTCTATACGAAAAATTAAAAAATTAACCAGGCATGGTGGCATGTGCCTGTAGTCCCAGCTACTCAGGAGGATGAGGTGGGAAGATTGCTTAAGCCCAGGAAGTTTAGGTTGCTGTGAGCTGTGATTGTGCCTACTACACTCTAGCCTGAGCAACAGAGCAAGACCCTTTTTCAAAGAAAAAAATTTATTAAGTGTTCTGGTCTTTAGGAATGATCAGATTTTGTTCATCTTTCAAATTATCACCTGTCATTTTATGGATTGGGCAGACTATTTTATATTTTATTTTCCAGCAATAGAAGATTCACAGATAGCAAATTCATGGATCTGGAATCCATTTCTGTCACTGAAATATAACTTACATCTTGTTATAACTATACAAGATGTAGAAGAGTTTTCATTCCATCAGCATACCTGTGTGACATTACTTTCTCCTCTTTGAGTGTTACTGAAATAAAACAAAAACAATTTAGGTATTTATTATTCCCCTGAGTTGCTTTATTGCCAGTTCACCTTAGATTAGATAAATTAACAAGCAAAAAAGCTCATTGTCAACATCACAAACTTTATTTATAATTTCAGTGTTTGTTCAAAATATTCATATAGGCATTTGGGAGGTGAGGATCATTCTCTACCTAAAACTTTTTGTTTAGTTATGATGTGTAATGAAGAAAAGTTGCAAGTGTAATAGTAGTTGTCTAAATTAATCCCCAGTTCACTTTTGGTGAACAACACAGGCCATTTTTATAATTGTGTTCTTTTTCTTTGTGCTATTTTTGTCTGATTATATTTATTGATGTGTAATTTTATGTCTGCCTAATCAAATAACAAAAACAGTTGTGCTTTTATTTTGTGTAGTTTTAAAATTTTTTATTTTTTTAGTAATTTACTACAATTAGTAAATAAAATTTTATATTTTATTTTCTAAATGTGTCAGCGAATGATGGATTGAGGAGATAAATGTAAATTTTCACAAATAGTTTGAGAAACCCTTTTTTGGACTACTCTTCAGCTCCTCCACATCCCACTCCCTTCTTTCAGCTTCTTTTTGAATTAGCTCTCTGATCTCTTTTTTAAAATTTTGATGTAATACCTTAGTTCAGACTCAAATCCCTTCTTGAAGTATTGCCATAGTTTCTTCATTGGACTTTTTGTTTCTGGGCTTTCTCTCAGTTTATTACTGACAATTTTGGAAATAACACTAATATATAATACAATATAGTAACAGAGTAAGTATAATTTATATACCATTTTAATATAATAAATATTTTATAATATATAATAACTTTAATAAAGTAATTTTTCTTTCTAAAATTCTCAAAAGGCTCCCTGTAATTTTTGGAACAAAATTAAAATGCCTTAACGTAGCAAAACTATTCTAATTCTGACTTGCCTCAATTACAATACTCACCTCCAAAGTGAATTCCTTACTTCTCTTACTGATCGTTATTCTTTTATTTTTAGTTTTACTGCCAATTTCATTGTTTTAAAAGATAAAGCAGATTATGTCCTTTCTTGACATAAAATTTGTAGTAGTATTTAGAGTAACATTTCACAAGGACCCTAGATAAGATGACTATTGACTATGTTTCCAACTTTATCTCATGTTATTCTTTCTTTTGCTCACTATGAAACAGTCAGACTACCTTCTAGTTTTTTAATCATGCCAAGCATTTTCATGCCTCAGGATGTTTGTATTTTGTCACTGGCTTTTGGCTCTTTTCCCAGTTTTCTGTGTGACTGGTGCCTACTCATTCTTCAATTCACCTCCTCCAAGAGGCTTTCCCTGACTCCTGTAACTAAGTAGCTTCCTTTCCATTATTATTCTTTCTCATATCATCTTGTTTTATTTCCTTTCTTCTATTCAATGCTTTCTTTAATTGTTTATTAGAATGTATGCTTCAAGAGGGTAATCATAACTAACTTTTTTTAGTTTATGTATTTATGGTGTACAATGTGATATACTGATATTTGTATACATTAGGGAATGATTAAGTCAAGCTAATTAATGTCTTCTTCACCTCACGTATCTTTTTTTTTGTGGTAAGAATGTTTAAAGTTTATTCACAGCAGTTTTCAACTACTGACACGTTATTAACTGTAGTCACCATGTTGTAAAATAGATCACCAGCACTTATTCCGTCTCTGTAACTGAAACATTGGTTCTTTTGGTGAACATCTTCCCAGTCCCTAGTAACCAGCATTCTACTCTTTACTTCTGTGAGTTCAACTTTTTAAGATTCCCTATACAAGTAAGATTATACCCATATTTGTCTTTTTATGTCTGACTTAATGTAATGCAGTGTTCTCTAGATTCATCCATGTCATAAATGACAGGAGTTTCTTTTTTTATGGCTGAATAGTATTCCATGGTGTATATACATTTTATTTGTTCATTCATCTGTTCATCAATAGACAATTGATTCCATATCTTGGCTATTGTGAATAATGCTGCAATGAACATTGGGGTACACATACTTCTTTCAAATACTGATTTCATATCACTTGGATATATACCCTGAAGTGGAATTGTTGAATTGTACGGTAGTTCTATTTTTAATTGTTTGAAGAATCTCAATACCATTTTCCATGATAGCTATACTAATTTTCATTTCCATCAATAGTGTACAAGGGTTCCCTTTTCTTCACATCTTCTCCAACACTTATATTTTACATTTTGTTTTGTTTGTTTGTTTGTTTTTTGAGATGGAGTCTCACTCTTTCACCCTGGCTTCAGTGCAGTGGTGCGATCCTGGCTCACTGCAACCTGCACCTCCTGGGTTCAAGTGATTCTACCACCTCAGCCTCCTGAGTAGCTTGGATTACAGGCGTGCAACAGCACGCCCGGCTAATTTTTGTATTTTTAGTAGAAACAAGGTTTCACCATCTTGGCCAGGCTGGCTCGAACTCCCCACCCCAAATGATCCACCTGCCTATGCCTCCCAAAGTGCTGTGATTACTGATGTGAGCCACTGCGCCTGGCCACATTTTCAATAATAGC